CAGGACGTGCCCTGGAGCCCAAACAAAATTAAATAAAGCATGTGCAACTGCAAGAAGGTCCTTTTCGCTATTCTGTCATACTTACCCGTTCAGGCCGAATCTCTGCATATTCATCCGCTGTACTTGGCTTTGCCGGCTACGGTAGCATGTTCATTCGCCTTCATGCTTCCAATGGCTACTCCCCCAAATGCAGTCGTGTTTGATACGAGGATTGTTGGAATGCTAGAAATGGTGAGCGTTAAATTTCCACAACTTAATGGACACTTTCCTGAGCCATGCCTTTGAGTAGAGGTGGAGCCCGCAAAAAGGGCGGAGAACTCGAAATGCATAGAGGCAGTAGCAAGCGTTCAATGATTATCCCCGCAAATGTGAGGGCATGTGAAGGGCGTGGATTGAATTGCAGCCAGGGTGGCCTTTTCCACCAATTGTTGCGGACTCGAGATGGCATCAACTGGTGGAAAATGCCACCCTGGCTGCGCTCTGACACACGCCCTTGAGTTTGTAGGGATAATTACTACCGTGACTTAATTCCATTAGAGAATTCAGGCTAACCTCACCGCTATACCAGAACAATGACGACTTTATGACGCGCTGGCTACTTTTAAGGCTCCTAAAGCACAGTCATAAAAGCGTCCACAGTCCTCAACAACCAGATCGACGGGGTGTATCAGTGTAACGTGAACTTGGCACGGCGCCAGCTCTTTTTCAACCAACAGTCCTTACCAGATAAGCGAGCAGTGATAGGTGAAAACGAGCTGGCTCCGCTCCAGCATCCACGTAACACTGATAAGCTCCGTCGATTCGGTTGTTGGGGACCATAAAATAATCGTAATTTGTTCAGGTCACCACCGGAGTACTGCTCAACATCTGTTGTATCCTGATCACAGTGCTCAACATGAATACCTGGACATATTGGTTGTTTGACTTGGGCACGGTACCGTTGATAGAACGACATCACAACGCTACACTCCGTTGCTAGTACTGGCCATTTTGATCAGATAGATTTGAATATATATGGATTCTGAGATTTTCCAAAGAACCCAAATAGCCTTATGAGGGCCTCCATAAACTTGTATAGCTTTCCTTGCTAGGTACAGTTGCTAACATCGCTTTCAGAGAAGCGGTGTCAGAGGGAGTAATCAGGAATCTTTCAAGACAGATCGTCTTTGTACATTCTGAGCAATATCATCAACTGTTCCCTGATCCCTTCCAAACGCTAGTAATCTCACTTTACTGAGATAATGTAGCACATCCATCTTCAATTTAACGGTTGGATTTCGAGAACTGAGCTGGAATTCCGTCAAAGTTTCCTCAGGAAGGCTTTCCCTCATCTGCGAGCTATGAAATGTACCCCTCAGCCAATCGTGGAATGTGCCTCTAACGGAACTCATAACTCAGCGTCTGTTTAAGATTTCAAAGTGTCTTCAAGAATGACTATCATTTTTCATTTTTCATTCTCCATTTTGGAGGTAAACTCAAAGCGAAACTGTACACTGATCTCCGAGGACGGACGAGGATGTGCAAGATGAATAGGTCTGCAGCTGCAGTAGTGTGCCATTTCCTCCGGTCATAATGCATGGGAACGGGGCTGTAGGATAGTGGAACTGGGTGCCGACTCTACACTCCGCCCGCGCGACCCTCAACGTACCGCTTTCCGTGTCAATAAGTAAGTCCCGCAGAGAACGCGTTCAGAGATAGATAACAACGAGAAGTGTGAGGGCGCGGGCAAGGAACGCATTTGGCTATGGTTAGGCGTGCCGACTGCCTGTGCGGTAGCGCGCGGGGCGCATGAAGACGGCGTCTGGATATCACTACCGTCCAGCCTCGTTCTACGATTAGCGTTGACTGTACCCTCGGTTCATATTTTTCCAGCCTTGTGTGCATTGTAATCAGCCTATTTAATTTTTGTTGTAGTAGTCAGCTTGTTCAGTTTTCGTAGGTGTGGTCGTGAAGGCATTCCGAATAAATCTTCGATTTGTCAGATCGACTGTCTTATACGTTCTGCTGGAAATGGTGCAGGCCAGCTAAGAGGACTATAGATTTTCCGCAAAACCTCGTGGAAGGTTAAGGTGCCTATCTTCAACTAAACTTATTAAAATGGACCAAACGACTTCGAAAATCAGTTTTGAAAGCTCTGCAATGTTTTTTTAAGCGTCGACGCCAAGGAGAAAGCTTTTGTCCCCCAAGAAAAAAGTGGCCTTTATTCACCTTTTGACCTTTATTTGGGTGGGCCTTTTTGACCTTTATTTAGGTGGATCCTCTTGACCTTTATTCAGGTGGAGCACAATCACTAAAAGAGCACATATACTCGTTTTGCTGCAGACGCTGAGGCGCTCCAAGGACTGAGTTTGGCGCGGCGCCAGTTCCGCTTTCCACCAGTTGTGGTTGTTCGCCCGTTTCAACAGTAGGTGGAGAACGGTTTGGCGGTGCACCGAACCCAGTCCTTGACACGCCCCAACATTTGCAGCGAAAACGACCGGTTCAGGCTGCTCTAGCCCATGCGATATACCAGTAAATAAAAATAAATAGTATATCGTTTATTTGAGGAACGCAACATGACCAATAATTATTTCGTGAAGGTTCTTGGAAACACAAGAAAATCTGAAGCAGTAAAGTAGAAACTGTACGTGCCGCAGCTACAATGGAACACAATTTTGGGCGCAGCTCGGAGGGGGGGGGTAATTTTCCGATTTCATCCACCATTGTCGATGCCTCCTGTGGAGAAGGTGAACTCTTGCAAAAGGATGCAGTAGCATGGTTTCTTTTACATTTGGCAAGACTTTACAGGTGAGACGTATGAGTTAACAGGAACTAGCAAAAGGACTAGCAGGAGAGCAAAATGTACCCCCCCCCCCACAGCCGAACAGCGCCCTTTTTAAGTATGAATTTCGAACTGATTAATCATACGATATCCGCTTATGTTTCGGCTGGACGTCTTGGAGGGATTTTAGCCGCTTTTCTCGGGAGCTTACTGTAGAGTGGATCCTTGGTGTGCATCAGTGAGCCGGCTAGAACCACTTCAACAGTATGACTGTTGTCAGATCCATTCTCACTGTTTACCATGTTGTAGACGGGCTGAAAAAATACGTCTATCTATGGTCCGTTAAATAAAATAAAGTCAATTGCGAACATTGATATCGATTTTATTCGCTGCATCGATTATTGCCGGTACAGTGCTGTGTTTGTCGAGTAGGCGTTCGTCAAAAATCACACCGCCACCGTTCCATCCAACATGGGCGATATGTCTGAAAATACAAAAAATTCAACAAAGCCCACATATACAAATAAAAATTTCATGAAGGAAAAAAGGCGCGAACTTTGCCTAGGGGGCATGGAGCGAAAGCACGCTTATGCGAATTTGGTCGTCTGTACTCTTGCAAGATTGAGTCTAGGGAAAGGAAGGGTTGACAGTAGCACAGAGGCTTCTCTGTACTACTGTTATTGATGTGAGTTCGCCCTGTGATCACAGCAGGGTTGAACGAGTGTGGGGACGACGCAAACCTCCCACGGCATTGTTCGACTTAGGAAGGGGGGGGCAAGGGCATTCAAAGGATTCACTGTGTGAAGTCGACACCGTGATTGATTCAGTTTTTTTTTACATGGACATGTTAACCCAGCCCTCCGGAGTCGTTCCCCTTCCTAGGCTTGAGCAGCGAACCCACATTTTCCTTACGTAGCATCAGTTTTGCACAAGTGGTGAGTGGTTTGATCGACCCTCTTAAAGGCAGTTGGCACGATGGTTTCCCACTCGGCCTAAAATGCTAGTAGGGCGCTGTATAGTGGGGAAATGGCGAAAGAACGGAGTGAAACGGTCAAAATCCTGCGAAGAAAAAGCCTCCGTTCTCAGTGACTTGTAAATCGATTTCGGACGAGTTTCCCGTAGGCATCTTACCAATCACCGCTACCGAAGATACGGCTGCATATGTGTACCCATGTATGCATGCAGCATCACGGCCGCTTCATACCAATCCCTTCGCTTCATAATTTGCTTAGCAAATGAATGAATACGAGCGTCAGGAACGGTCGTCCATTTGTGGGCGGGCGGGCGTGGCGGGCGTTTGGGACGTAAAGTTGTGGCTTGATAGGGCCCTTATAAGGGCACCTTCCTCGGGGAAACCGCTATGCAGCGCCTGCCCAGGGTCGCGGAATTCTATCCTGCCAGGAGTATTGATCCTAGTCGTCTTGGGGGTTTATCGTGCCAACTGCCTTTAAAGCAGGCAACACCCCTCGCGTAGTCAACTTAAGAGGGGCACACTGAAACTCTGGCCGTGTGGCCCAGCAACTACGTCACCAAGAAAAAAGCAAAGCATAGGGACTGAAGTTCAAAATAGAGCCCCATCTTGTGGTCTTCCTTTTCGCTATTACTTCGCAAAAAGAGAATTTTTCAATCTGCTGTTGTTTGCATCATAATTATTGTTTGTGCTGTTTATTCCATCACTATCAGGGTTGATTTTGGCTTTTTCAAGACTTATAGGTATTCACAAGGTGGCCTATAGAGGCTTCTCTACCGTTGCCCTCACCAAACCGAACTGTTTCTGCAAGTGAAAGAGGTCTTCTATAAGGAAGGTACAAGGGTTGATTGTCTCCGCCCACTCTATCACCGTGGACTGTGCCTTTGATCGATTACCGGTGCTCTAACAACGTAGAGAACTCACGCGAAATTCCGTGGAAGACTGATTGATTCAAGGTTTCGGCCGCTTTTGCCTTTCCGTCGTGCAGGAACTAGTGGTGTTTCCAACGTTGCGGAAACTCTGGCAGCTGAAATGACTTTTACTGAGAAGTGATATGGCGGTCAGCTTAGGATGGGGAATCATGAAGGTCTTTCGAGACCAAGGTCAGGTCACCGTCAAGCCGCAAGCCTTTACCATCGTTTCACTCAACTCAGTTTTTAAATCGCTGCCACGCATGGCTAATATTATTTTTATAACTACTATTTCCGACAATTCATCGGTTTGATGTGTCTACCCACTGCTCCTCCCACCGGGCGGCAGTTTTTCATAAGAATACGGTAAATTGATCGGTTGGCTGTGGAGTTGGGTCGCACTGAGGGAGGAACCTTGGGAGGGGGTCGTATTTTGCAAAATTTCTTCTCCACGGCAAGGCGTGCCCTGGCTGCTTTTTTCGACTGTTTCACAAACACACGAAGGAACCGAACTTCATAGCTTTAATGAGGAGCCGAACATGGAGTCATGTAAATGCGAAACGACATTCCTAACCACTGCGCCATTCCGCTTGCTAAGGTTTTCATCGAAATGAATCACTTACGCGATTTTTCTGTAAACGAGTGTGGAGGTGAAGGAAATGATTCCTCGATCTTGGGCGAGGTAAGGGTAGAACTTTCTGCAGCAGGTCTAAAAGTAGTTGCATTACTGAAGACCGTCATATACGGCTTCAGAACTTCCAACTTTCATTTTTCCTTTAAGTATTGAATGAAAAACATAAAAGAAGATAGTGTCATCATAGCTTGAAAAAAGAACCAACGGTGGTTTCGGTGCTTCTCGGGTTTTCTGTCTTCCAACATATTCCATCCTTTTCTCTATGTCACGTGATAGACCATGTAATTTGAAGAATCTAGCAACGAAGAAAAGAGTATGTGGTAACTGTCAAAGATTTATAGAGTACTGGATAGCCAGTTTGTAAAGTGAGTGAAATTTCTTCATTACCTTGCTTCTCGGAGAATTCTTTCCAAGTAATACTCGTCACGTGGTAAAGGAATGCTGCCATCTCGTAGATAATTCAAGATCAACGGGAAAATCGTCGCGTCGCGATCGATGAAAAGATGACCGTGCTAGATAGTTTATTGCAATTTCATTAGCATAACAAA